AAGGCAGCTGTTTTCAGGAAGCTGACTTGTGGTGGGTCTAGCAGTAACACCTGGTACTGGGTAATGCGGGCGTTGGACATCCATCTCTCCGGGGGGCTCCTTAATAAGGTCTCAACTGCATGCGGAGCAACTACTTGGAGATTTTGGCCAAAGGTTAGCTTTGAGGCTTCCTTTACCAGGAGGGTGGTGGCTGCAATGGCTCTCAAGCAGTTGGGCCATCCCGAGGCCACCGGGTCAAGTCTCTTACAGAGATAAGCTACGGGGCGTTTCCATGGTCCTAGGGGTTGTGTGAGGACCCCTTTCGCCACCCCTTTGTTTTCAGCTACATATAGCTGAAAGGGTTTGGTTAGGTCTGGCAGGGCGAGTGCCGGGGTGCTTACCAGGGCTTCTTTCAGTCTCTTATAAGCCTCTTCTTCCTTTTCTGTCCAGACCAGGGCGGCCTCCTTTCCCCCCATTGCAGAGTATAGTGGTCTTTCAATTTCTGAAAAACCTAGTATCCATAGCCTGCAATAACCCACTGCCCCGAGAAACTCCCAGACTTGCCTTTTGGTGGTAGGCCTGGGGATTGACAAGATGGCCTTTATTCTGCTACTGGGTAAAGTTCGCCTGCCCCCTTCTATGTTGTAACCCAAATATGTTACTCGGGTAGTGCATAGCTGAGCTTTCTTGGTTGAGACCCGATACCCCAATGATCTAGGGTGGTCAGCAACTCTCGAGTGGCCTGCCTACGGTCCTGTTCCTCCTCCGTGGCCAGTAGGAGGTCGTCTACATATTGGAGCAGAGTCACCCGTGGATGGTCCTGACGGAACTCCCGGAGGTCTTGGTTTAGGGCCTCATCGAACAGAGTGGGTGAGTTCTTAAACCCTTGTGGCAACCTAGTCCAAGTTAACTGTCCAGACTCTCCCTCTGTCGGGTCCACCCACTCGAAGGCGAAGATAGGTTGACTCTGCCTTGCCAGGGGAAGGGAGAAAAAGGCATCCTTTAGGTCTAAAACAGTATAGAACCAGTGTTCTGGCTTGAGGAGGCTGAGAAGAGTGTAAGGGTTCGGAACCGTGGGATGGATAGTCTCAACCCTCTTGTTTACTTCCCTTAAGTCCTGTACTGGCCTGAAATCCTCAGTCCCTGGTTTCTGTACTGGCAACAGGGGAGTGTTCCAAGCAGATTGGCAAGGAATCAAGATTCCAGCCTCTTAATGTGCTTGGCGATTCCCACTCTCGCCTTCTGGCTCATTGGATATTGCCGGACTCTGACTGGGGTGGCACTGCTGATCAGCTGGACTACAATTGGAGGCCGGTGTTTAGCTAACCCTGGCGGATTGTCCTCCGCCCAGACTGCCGGGATAGCCTGTCTTAATTGTTGGAGATAGGCATCTGCTGAGACTTCCCCAGGCTCCTCCTCATGTAGTAAATATTCCTCCTGTAAGGGCAATGTCAGGAGATAGATCCCCGCAGTCCCTGGATCTTGCAACTTGACCTCTGGCCCTGGCCCTTCAAAAGAGATTGTGGCCCATAATTTATTCAGCAAGTCCCGGCCTAGCAGAGGGTAAGGGCACTCTGGCATTACTAGGAATGAGTGAGTCACTGAACCGTTTCCTAGGTCGCTGATTCAACCTTTAGTCCATGGGTAGGATTTCACTTTTCCAGTTGCCCCTTTGATGGGGATTTTGGTCTTAGAGACCGGACCCACTGGCTGTTGCAGGACAGAGAAGGTGGCTCCCGTGTCCACAAGGAAGTCCACCTTTTGGCCCCCCACTGTCAGAGTTATCCTGGGCTCTTGGGGGCCAGCTGAGCCCTGACAACCCTAATCCACCTCCTCCACCAGCACGGGAGTCGGTTCCCCCGCACGTTCAGGGCACTCCCTTTTCCAGTGTCCTTCCTTTTTGCAAAGTGCACACTGATTTCTTCCAAGCCTGGGTTGGACTCCTTTTCTCCCACGAGGCTTTCCTTTATTCTTATTGTCACTCAGGCCCCTTGGGCCTTTTTCCTCATTTAGGGCCATGAGGACCTTGGCCATCCGGGTGTTTAAACCTGCCGTCGGGTCCTCCCGATTATTAAAAACCTTCTGGGCTACCGCAACCAACTCAGAGATTGATTTCCCCTCAAAGCCTTCTAACTTCTGCAATTTTTTTCTAATATCTGGGGCCGACTGGGAAACAAATGCAACAATGACAGCCCTCCGATTTTCTGGGGCATCAGGGTCAATGGGGGTATACACCCGATAGGCCTCGCACAGCCTCTCCAGGAAAGCTGCCGGGCTGTCATTAGGCCCCTGGACTGTCTCTGTCACCTTAGAGAGGTTTGTGGGTCTCCGAGCAGCAGCTCAGATGCCCCCCAATAGAGTCTGGCGATACCGATCGAGAGCCTTCTTTCCCCTCTCACTATTGGGATTCCAGTCAGGTCGCCTGGAGGGAAACACAGCCTCTAATCTGTCTTGGTCAGAGGTAGGCTGCCCATCCGGACCCAGTACAAATCTCCTCCCTTCCGCCTTGACTCTCTCTCTCTCCCCCGAAGTGAAAAGAGTTTGCATCAATTGTTGGCAATCATCCCAGGTAGGTTGATGGGAAAAAAACACAGACTCTAAAAGAGAGATTAACCCCTGTGGGTTCTGGGAGAAAGAAGGATTCTGGTTCTTCCAATTGTACAGGTCAATGGTAGAAAAGGGGACATAGACCATGAAAGGTTGCCCATCTGGACCCAAATCTAAAGGGCCTGCCTGCCTAGTGGCAGCATAGGAACTGCAGGACTGGCGGATGCCGCTGGGTCCTGCAGGTTCTTCCCCTCTCCCTCTCTCTCTCCATATGCTGTCCCTTGCCTAGTGTGAGGAGGGGAGAACGAAGCCGGGTCCTGGACTGGTATTTTCGGAGGAAAGGGAACCTGCTGTGGAGGAGGCAGAGGTTCCGGGCCAGGGTCTTTAGCCACCGCCGGGCCGGCGGGTGGGGAAGCATAGGGGGGAGGCCTGACCTTGGGGAGTGCCTCCTCACTTGGATCCTGGAGAACAGGGGGAGTCTTGTCCTTCTGGGCCGAAGCCAAGAGGACTGTCTGTCTCTATTCCAATTTCTTTTTCTTATTCTGACAACTCTTTAACCACCTTGGTTTTTCAGCCAAAATATCAACCCACACTTGAATATAGAGAATTTGGTCGGGGTGACCCGGCCGGCCATAGACAACATGGTGAACCCGAAAAGCGGTGGTTAAATCATAAGTCCCTACGTCCGGCCATCCCACCTGGAAAGTGGGCCACTCTCGTTCACAGAATTTCTGCAAATCAAAAGCATTAACATCATATCCGTAGTCTCTGGCTCTCTTCTTGAAGTCCTGAAAATTCTTAAGAAAACATTGCAGCGGGGTGCACACAGAAGCAGACGACGACCCCTGACCCATTTTGACAACAAACACCAAACAACAAATATCAGACAGACAAACACTAGACAGACAAACCCGGTGCAGCCTAGAGTCGCACAAACCAGGACCCCAGCCACTGTCATGGCCGCGGGTCAGGACCAGGAGTACCGCTGCATCCAGCCCTCTGTATAGGTCCTTCCGTGGGACGTCCCAATTCCAGTTTAACAACCAGTCCTTACCTCTCTCGAGAGTCCAGGTGGCTCGGTTTCCGAATTGAAAGTTTGGGGTGGACTGGAGGCCTCCTTGATAGTCGTTCTCCACAGGTGTGGGGTATCTCGCTGAGTGCCTGGCGACAAGCGGGGGAGAGCCTCCTGCCTTGAATAGGGGGTCCCTCTCCTCCCTGCCGGGTATCTCGATGGAGCCTCCAAATGTTATGGGTTGACTCAGCAAGATAGACCACCGACTCAGAATTTAAATTTAGGAACCTTTATTAAGCTGGCCAGCTGTCTGCAGTCCCAGCACCCCACCAAAGCAAAGGCTGAACTGCAACCCTGACTGCAAGAGTTACAGCATATTTATTTGCAAAAACTACAAAGTTACAAAGCCTTGTTTATGCAATTTGTTCCCGACACAGTATAGCATTATCACCTTCCTATCTATGTTTTCCGGGAACAGAGAGCACAGTATATTGAGGAGGGACCATGAGACCATATCTCAAGGCCTGACCTGATGTCAGTACCTTCCTATCTGTCTGTTCCAGGAACAGACAGTACAGCGCGCCCCCATATGCAGCCCAGTACATTGGCAGCCCTCTGGGATGCCCACTTGCCAGCAGAGAGCAGGCCTAAGCTGCAGTCAGACATCCTTAATGCTGCTGAGGAGGCGGGAGAGGCTCCCGCCACCACTGCTGTGCTGGTAGCAATCAGCCGGGCTTGTGGCTGAGCAGAGCTCCCCCTGTGGGAGCACACTGACCACTAGGGGGCAGCTGCTGCATTGAGTGTCTGCCCCCTGGTGGTCAGTGTGTGTCATAGTGAGCAGTCATTCCCAGTCTTTCTGCTGTTAAGGTCAATTTGCATATTGCCCTTTTATTATATAGGATAGAGGCCTGGTGCACGGGTGGGGACCGACTGGTTTGCCCTGAAGGGTGTCTCAGATCAGGATGGGGATCCCGCTGGGGTGCCTGGCCAGCCTGGGTGAGGGGCTGATGGCTGTTTGCAGGCTGGCCAAGTCCCCCAGCAGGGATCCTCACCCCATGGGGGTGTGGCCAGCCTGGGTGAGGGGCTGAGGGCTGTTTTCAGGCTGGCCACACCCCTTTCAGGGTGGGGGTCCCTACTGGGGTGCCTGGCCAGCCTGGGTGAGGGGCTGAGGGCCGTTTTCAGGTTGGTCACGCCCCCCGGCGACCCAAGCTCCCAGCCTCTCCTTTTATTTTCTGGGATTTATTTGTCTTCTATAATTGAAACTTTGTAGCCTTGAGCGGAGCCGAGGGCTGACCAGGGCAGGCGGGAAGCTTGGCTTCCTCCATTACCGGGGGCAACCCAAGCTTCTTACTTGCTCCAGGTCCCTGGCCAACGCTATCTTAGTTGGGTTAATTTGCATACTCGCTCCCAATTGGCTAATGGGTGTGGCTTGTGGGTGTAGTGGAGGGGTGGAGCGACAGAATGATGGTTAATTTGCATCTTTCTCTTTTATTAGTGTAGATATTTGCATACAATTGACTTTTCAATATTTACTTTACATCCAGGAGCCTTGCTAAAGTTATTTATTATAAGTTACGTAGATTCTTATGGTTAAACAAGGAAATACATATTTATACATTTTGTTAAACACTGAACCAAAAACTGAAAATAGAAAAGGGAGCTTATCAAGGAATGGGCTTTCAGAAACAGAGAAATTTCATCTGAAACCTACAGGATGAGCTGGAACATCCATTCAAAGGCTGGAGAAGAGTATCACAGAGAGAATGTCATATGCAAAGGTCCTGAGGCAGGAATAGCTGGGCCTATTTGGGGAAGCCAAAGAAGACAAGGAGTCTGGAAGACAGGGAGTCTGGAATGGGGGTGGGAATGAAGCCCAGAGTGAGGGTAAACTGATGGGTGATGGATAGGAACATGGGGCAGTCACAGCTTAGTCATGCCCCTTGAACTCTAATCAGAATGTATGGGAGATACTAAAGGGTTACCATGTGACCATGTATTGTTAATGACTTTGCCCTTTCCCAAGTCACCAATGACCTCCACGAGGCGCGAAAGTCAATGGGCAGAGGCCTCACGCATCTAACCCATCAGGACCATCTCACACAGGTGGCCCCTCCTTCATCCTAGAAACAGTCTTCACTTGGCTTTCATGGACACCCCTACTCTCCTCCTCCCCCACAGGCCCTCCCTCGCCATCTCCTTTGCTACATTTCCCTGACATTTCGACACTGAGGCTTCATGGCTCCGATCTCGCTCCCACTGATTATTTGGCCTTTCTGCCCACTCATTCACCACGTTCCCACAGGCAAGCATTCCAATGTGCTCTGAGTGCTTTTGTTTATAGATGTGCTTGGGGAACATGTGTTACTTCCTAAGAAACACATTTCACTGAATGGCTCACGTAGTGGCTTCTCAGGGCACAGAGGGACCCTCCTGACTGTGGTTTTCTCCTCGTCTCTGTCACATTTCTGTTCGCCTGCCCTTGCTGGTACCCTGGGTCAGCCTCTCTCAGGCCAGAGTCTCACCAAAGCCTCCTCACCCAGGCTTTGCCTCAGCTGGCCCGTGACGCTTCCCCAGAGCTGCCTCTGCCCACCGTGCGCTTGTAGGAAACAGGTCCCACCTCCGTACCTGCTATGTGCGGGCCTCAGGACCACACCCCGGAGGCTGCTGCCGTGACCATCTCTAACCACCTGCTCGTTCTCCTCACACAATGTGTGAAAGGGGAGCGAGCACCATTTAAAGGCCCCTACCTCCACTCTGCTCATCCAACCATTGGACAAATACAGCCCTCACCCCCCACCCTCAATGCCAGGCTACTGTATATAATATGCAGGCGGGGCAGAAGGATGAAACGGGCCAGGACTACGGGCACCAGCGCCTGGCGATCTGAGGTTGGGCACATTTCCAACCCTCCTTGGGCCTCAGGTTCTCCCCGTGGCACGTGGTTTCCTCGGCCGTGTGCCTGGGTGGCCCGTGGTACAGAGTGACTATGGCAGTGCAGTGACAACATAGCAGCTGGTGGGTGAGGAAACGTCAATCCGTGCTGGACGGGCGCCATGTGCCCAATAGCTGAAGGCCCACTTTAGGGGACTGCCAAGGGGGGACCCCCACTTTGCTGAGCCATGGGGGAACCAGGTGACGCCACTCGGAGGGGAGGTTTCAGAGGCTTTGCAGACAAAAACGACTAAGTGTAGAGAGTTGCTCTGCTGGTCTTTATTCACTGCCCAGCAGGAGCCCATAGGCTCTGTATAAACAACAGAGAAAAAGAAGATCTTGCTCCTCCAGGGGTGAGGAAGGTATAAAATTCCAATTTTCACTTCAAATATTACCCGAGTTAGAGGAACTCCGCCACCTGCAAAGTGCGCCTCCCTCTCCTGAACAGCACCTGCAGCTTTCGGGGAATGGGGGAGCAGAGCTCCCTGTGGCCCCACAAGCTCTGGGGTTGGGGGTAACTGGGGCTCTGCTCCTGCCCTGGAGTGCCCTTTCCCTGTGGGAAGAGAAGCCCTGGGGTCTTGGGTCAGGCCCAGAGCCCAGGAGCAGGCTGTCCGTGCCACGTGAGGCATCCGGCTGCTGCCCCACCAGAGCCAGCTCCGTGTGCCCGGATAGGAGCCCGGTCCCCGTGGAGGCCCTCCCTGAGCCTGTGGTCTGGGAGCTGGGATGAAGGTAGAGGCCCAGGCTGAGGACAGGTGGGTGGGTGGTGCCAGAGGCCCAGGCTGAGCACGGGTGGGTGGGGGGTACTGGCCATGGATGGAGAGGCAGGTGAGCAGACAACTTCTAAGACCCTGTCGCACTGAGGACGCCTTGGGTTCCTCGGGAGTGGACCTGCCGCCCCAGAAGCCACCTGACAACACGGAATCTCCCATGACATCTCGGCCAACTTGTCCACCACTGGGCTTCAAGTCCTGCCCCCGAGGTCACACTGAATATGAGACATGTGGGACTTGGGACTGGACTGGAATCGGGCCACTGACCCGAGGCCCACACAGCCCAGCCCTGCCTGAGCCTGAGCATCAGGGGCTGGGTTATATGGTTGCCTCTTAACTCCAGGCTCCAGCCCAGCCAGCTCACCCTGAACCGTCTCCTGGTATCAATGAGGCAAATGGAACTGCTTTGTTTCTGCCCTGACTTTGCAGGTCATTGCCCAGGGCTCCCCAAGAGCCGGTGGCTAATCCCCTGATTCGCAGCAACCTCGAGTCAGTAGGCCAAAGGCCCAGCCTCGCTGCACTCTGTGTCCCCACGGCTCAGACCTGGCTCTGGAACGAGTTTGGGGGTGGGGCCCAGGCCCTGACACTGTGGCTGTGGGACCATGTGAAAGCTCCCCGGATGGTCTGTGTGTCATCTCCCCGCTTATAAACAAGGTGACAAAGGTGCTTCCTAGCACGTGGACTGAGGAAGAGATGGTACTAGTGCTTAGTTAGCTCAGACCATGTCAGCCCTGCCCTGTGCCTGCCACAGCCTGGCCAGGGGGCAGGGGACCCTAGCTCAGGGCGCTGGCCGGAGAGCTGGGAGATTCACTGACCTTGGCTCCCGTCAGAAGACAGTGAGCAGGAGCCAGTCAGGGCCTGGGCTGGGGTGGGTGGAGGGGCGAGGGCGGGGATTAACTCCTGGAGGGATGGTTTTTCTACTAAATGAGCATTGCCTTAGTCTGAGGAAGAGGTAGGGGAACCCCGTTGACTGTCCTCAGCACCGGGAAGCTGCCTGCTTCCTGCCATTCGTGATGATGACGAACAGGGCTAAGTCCAAGGACCAGGAGGGAGCGTGGGGAAAGGCACCCTCTTGGCCACACGCAGCGCCTTCGGTCTGGGAGACCTGGGAGCTGGGGTCCGGGAACAGAGGAACGCGGCCGCCCAGATGCCTCCGGGGCCAGGCCAGCTCCTGGCTCTAAAACACAAGCTTCTTGGGAACCTCCCACGGGAACTCGCTTCTTCCAAAGTGGCCATAGCACGCGGTCTTCTGGTAGATGGGCTTCTTCAAATCCAAGTCCCTGCGAGGCCCCAGAAGGAAGGGTCATTTCAGTGGGATGGAAACAGAGTCTCTCTACGAATTTCAGACCCAGGAGTAGCAGCCTAGCACAGTCTTTGAAAGGAATGTCACCACTCAGGTCATTTCTCCTAAATGTCCTGTCTACACGACACCGTGTCTGTGGGGTGGCTGTCACTGTCACTGGCCCCTGGGAAGCAGCTCAGAGGCTCAGGAAACCCCCGATCAGGGACCTGGAGTGCACTCTAGCCCTGTGGTGCCTTTCTCCTCTGTACCCCACTGACCTGGCCCGGACCAACGCCAAGTTAGCACGCTCTAGAAAGCAGGGATGGCATTAGAAGTGAGGACAGATGGGACTAGACTTGCTGCCTGAATCCTTAGCCACTCAGCCTCTCCCTTTCCTGAGGCCTCCCACCTGGGGCTGGCCTCCGCTGGGCCCTCAGGATCTCATGCGGCCCCTCAACCTGAGCTCCAGACACCCTGCTCCTGGGTGTGCATGTGCTGGGCCCAGGGCTCAAAGACCCCCTGCTCCTGGGGCTGCACGTCCTTCCTCCTGCTTCCCTTCCCGCTGAGCTGAGCTGTCCTGCCCACGAGCGCAGGGTAGTGGACTTACCTGACGATGACGCCAGGCCGGAGGTCGAAGTTCTTGTTCACCACGTCCAGCAGCTCTCTCTCGGTCTTCTGCGAGGTTCCATAGGTGAAGATGGAAATGGACAGTGGCGCGGCCACACCGATGGCGTAGGAAACCTTCCGGGGGAGACGAGGGTCAGGCACCAAAGCCGGTGGCAGGGCTCTGCCCCCCACAGAAATCTCAGATCCTCAGGAAGGGCAGCTGGAACCACGCACCACGCTCCTCTCGCCAACACACTCCCCGCACTGTCTGCCCAGAAGCCCTGCTGTCCTCGGGGTGGGCAGGCTCTGTACATGGCCCTCTCCCTGAGGTTCTATCCTCTCCCCGGACTTCAGGGTCCTGGTCACAGTGCCCCCCCACCACCCCCAGAGCCGCATGCTGTGGCCAGAGCTGGGCCAGGGGCGCGGGGACCCACCTGCACAAGCACTCTCCGGCACAGCCCTGCTTTCACCAGGGACTTGGCCACCCAGCGGGCAGCGTAAGCCGCCGAGCGGTCCACCTTGGTGTAGTCCTTCCCAGAGAAGGCCCCGCCACCGTGCGCCCCCCAGCCGCCGTAGGTGTCCACGATAATCTTCCGGCCAGTGACGCCCGCATCCCCCTGCAGGGGGAGAGGGGGAAACGGAGATGAGAGCTGAGCCGCAGGGCCTGGGAAGCGGACACTGAGGCACTGTGATCGGCGGAACCACCGCTGGGAAAGGGTGCCCTGTGGTGGCCCAGGGGCATGTTTCAAAAACTCCTTGGCTTGGAGTTGGCCAGACACCCGGGCTCCAGTTCAGACCAGTCACTGACCAGCTGGAAGTCAGTAAACCATCAGAGCCTCATCAGAAAGTGCAAACGATGAGCCCGCTGGGATGGCAGCCAGCCCCTACTGCCTCTGCTTCATGAGCCAATCACCATGCAGAAATCCAACTGCAGGAGGCAACGGTGCTGTCATCAGCACACCCGGGCCAGGGCCTCTCTGGTGCTGCCCCATAAGTGCCATGGCGCCCATTTCCTCCCGTGTCTGCTCTGGGCAACACCCGGCAGTGGAGACGCCAGGGCTCCGTGTTAAATGATTAGAGAAGAGTGCCTGCTACCCCCCCTGTTAGAGGTTATGTTCACACTCATGTTTCTAGCCTTGGAGAGGTCCTGCAAGGACACACAAGCGGCATGGCCTCTTTCTGGCTGTGCTCCTGCACTTCGCCTGGTCACAGGGCCTGATGTGGGGCTTCTGCTCTGTGGCAGCACAGCCACAGCTGAGGCCCCGACAGTGGCCGGCAGCCTCGCACAGATGCCATACCAATCTCCGTGGCCTCGCTCCCGCGGGGCAGGAGGGAGGGGGCAGCAGGTGTCCACATAATAAACTGCCCACCTCGGTGCCCTCAGAGTTGAAGGGGGCCTGTGGCAACGACCCGTGAGCGCCACCTGGTAAAGGTCAGTCATTTAGGATGCGAGTTAGCACATTAGCAGGTGAGGCAGCAGCCTCTTGGGCAAGCATGGCATCAAGAATGGGCTGTCTGGCCTTAGCCAGTCTGGCTCAGTGGATAGAGCATCGACCCTCAGACTGGAGGGTCCCAGGTTTGATTCGGTCAAGGGAACGTACCTTGGTTGCAAAGTTAGATCCCCAGCCCTGGTCGGGGTACATGATGGAGGCAACGTGGCAACCAATCGATGTGTCTCACATAGATGTTTCTCTCTCTGTCTCCCCCTCCCTTCCACTCTCTCTGAAAATCAATGGGAAAATAACCTTGAGTGAGGATTAACAACAACAAAAAAGGATGAGCTGTCTGGAGTGGGAGGGCCAGGCAGCACAGGTGGAGGAATCCTGGGGACACGTCCCCGTCCCTCAGGTACTGACAGGTACACAGCAAGCCTCACAGAGAGGGAGCTGACTTCACAGTTGTCCAAGGCCAGACCTGGCTGAGTCACACAGCCCCCTACAGTCCGTGCTCCGGAAGGGAGCACCCCAGGAACAGACAAACCAGGGCCTCATCCAGAGACCGGGGCGCACCTGGGGACCGCCGATGACAAAGCGCCCGCTGGGCTGCAGGTGGTAGATGGTGTCTTTGTCCAGGTACTTGGCGGGCACCACGGCCCCGATCACCTGCTCCTGCAGGGCCTTGCGCATGTCCTCCAGCGTGATGTCCTCATTGTGCTGCACAGAGATGACGATGGTGTGGACGCGCATGGGGATGACCGCGCCGTTGTCCTGCATGTACTGCACTGTCACCTGTCGGTCAGAAGGGCAGGAGACTCGTGAGGCCCTGCCCTGGGTGGAGGACACATTGCTGCTGGGCACAGAGCAGCCAGGGCTCCCAGGAGCCAGGGGCCTGCTGTCTTCCAAAGGCCTGCAGGAAAGCTCAACTGACGCATCTGGTATCTGAATGGCTGCCTAGTGCTATGCGATGGCTGGGCATCAGGCATAAGATAGCCCCACCTGTGGCCACCATTAGTGCCCCTTGGAGACTCGGGGTTTACACAGTTGTCTCTCTATGACCCACTGGACCCCTTTACTGCTATCTCAGAGGGTTCTGGGTGCCAACCAGTGTCCCCTGGTCAAAGCCCTCCCTTGATCCTCTATGTCCCAGGGCCAAGCTATTCTGGCTCCTTCCAAGGACACAGGAAGTCTGCGGGCCACGGCCCGCTCTCCCAGCCTCTCGGGGAGGAGCTCGGGAGGCAGACAGGGCCAGTGACTTACTGGCTGAGGCAGAGGGAGCTGCCAGCTCTGGGTGTTCTGGCAAATGAGAGGGAAGCGGACAGCACCCGGCGGGTGGCACTGCCCGCAGCACCCTCCAGATCAGGCCACAGGGACAGAGCCAGGATCACTGCCGCCAGCGAGGCCAGGCTGTGCCCGTTCTGTGCAGGACCAATTACTCTGTGAGCCACTCTAGCCGGCAGGCCTTGTGCGCTCCATTTCACAAATGAGAACACGGCTCTGAGAAGTGAAGCCACTTGTCTGAAGCCACACGCTCGTCAGAGAAAAGCCGAAGAGCCAAACCCTGCTCTGCCTGGTCCAAAGCCCGTGCTATTCCCACAGCAGCACAGACGAGACGCTTCTCCCGTCCTTTCCTGACACCTCAGTGAGCAGGAGAGCCTGGCATCCCTGCTTGGCCGGGCTGTGAGGCAGAGAGCAGCCAGGGCAGCTGGGGCTGGCAAGTGAGAGGGAGGAGAGGTGAGCACAGCAGACAAAGCTGGTTAAAGAATCGGGCATGGCCCGAGCATGCACTGTATGCCAGGAACCATGCTGAAAGCTCTAAGAGGCTGTTACCAGCCCGTCTTAAAGACGAAAAAGCTGAGGTCCAGAACATAAACGCCTTGGTCAAGGTCACACAGCCAGCAAAGCCAGGCTCTGACCGGGAGCTGTGTGGCCTGGCGGGGGCTCTGCCCAGCAGGAAGCTGTCACTAAGACCCTCAGGGCTATGCTGGAGCCACAGGCCCCCTTGCTACCCAGTCAGTGTGAACCCACAAGAGCAGTGCCCCGAGGGGCTCTGGCGTGTGGGGGCCTGCAGGAGTGAAGCTATGCCAGGGGCCCTGGTAGAGACACTGGCTGCAGGCACAGCACTGCTCCCAACCCAGGGCCTTGACAGGACCACGGGGCAGCAAGCAGTGCCCTCCTGGGGCTATGCCTGCAGCCAGTGTCTGCCAGCCCCAGGCCCGCGGATGTCCATGCAACACTGGACTTGTGTCACACTCCCACTCTGCGTCCTGCCTGGTCCAAAGAGCAACAGGGTGAGGTCAGGGAAGGGAGAGAAGGAACCCTGCCCACATGACATCGTGTGAGAGGGGCGATGCACACCAACATCTGTGGACTGAAGCAACCCTTATCTGCTGGGCTGTGCACACTCAGGGCCCTGTGGGAGGCGCTGGAGTTGGGGGCTCTCAGAAGGGGGGACCCTTCTGGCTCTAGGGCTAGATCTGCCCTTCGGGCCACAGGAGAAGGCTTGCATCCCGAGGGGCGGCTGAGGCCCGTCTCCTCTGCCCCTGCCCCTGACCTCCCCTCGGCCGTGAGCCCCAGCGGCGTCCTTGCAGACCCACAGAGCTGTGGCCTCGGAGCTCAGGGCTCAAGCAGGGCTCTTATCTCATCGTGTCAGGAAAATGCACCACGGAAAACACACCCCTGACCAGCTGCAAAAATAGCCTCGTGCTGCCACTCAACTCCCGTATCAGCAGGAGGCGTTTGCTCAGGTGGAAAGACTCATCCTGCTCAGTCAGCGCAGGTGAGGTGAGGAACCTCCTCTACCAGGAGGGGGAGGAGAAGGCCTCGCAGCGGGTCCGGGCACAGTGCCCCACAATGCAGCGGCCTGGGGGTCCAGGGGCCGGGAGGCTCCGTCAGGGGACCCACACCCGCACACAGGCTGCTTGGGTACCAGAGTGGACCTCACTCCCGGCCCAGACGGCACACAGCGGGCTCCTGGGCACACTGGTTTGCAGGGCGAGTGAAAAGTGGGGGGGTGGCTAGAAGAGGACTGCAGGTGGAAGACTGGGAGCTGAGTGAGCCCAGGTGGGTCCGTTAGCACAGATAGAGGGGAGCAAGGGTGGAAGAAGAGCCATCAACCCACTGGGATGTGGAAGAGGAGCCGGGGGAGGGAGCCCCCAGGACAGGAGGAGGTGGACAGGGAAGGTGGACAGGAGGCCTCCAGGTGTGCGAGCGCTGGCATCACCGTGGGCCTCGAATACAGACCTCCGTGGGGATCTTCACTCTGCGGGGAGCCCAGTGGTCAGGGCCCAAGGGCCAGAGGCAGGAACAGCAAAGAGAAGGTGTTTTTATGAGAAAGAAAGGAAAAGGCCCAGACAGATGCAGACTATCTTTGCTCAGGCGGCGTCCAGACCTTGCTCACGATGCGGAGACCTGTGTTAGTGGCAGGATAGTGACCAAAAGTTTGAAACCCGTTCAGAAGTTTGTGGCAGGAACGGGAATTACATTACCAGAGTCAACATATGCCGAGAAGGAAAACAACAATTTTTTTTCCTTAAAAAATTTCTTTCCATTTTCCAGTACCTTTGAAATTTTTCGTAATAAAATAGGGGGAGAAAACATCTAGAGCTGAAGATTTTTCAAATAAATACTCTTTTCAAAAATCCACAATTCTTTGTGTCCAGACTGCACATTTTGGCCTTAACGGGAATGAGAGGATGGGGAGCTTGAGGTGTGTGTCTGGAACCAGGCAAAGGAGAGACCCACCTGAGTCTTCGAGTCGGGCCTGAGCCAGGGGAGCACCCCCGAGCGCCTCAGCTCTGCCATCCGGGCGTTGAGTTTGTGAGCAAGGATGATGGTGAGGGGCATGCACTCCTCCGTCTCGTCGGTGGCGTAGCCGAACATCAAGCCCTGCAGCGGGGAGAGAGCCCACTGAGCCACACCCGCTTCGGACCAGGGCGGCTGTCCTCAGACCGAACCCTCCGCCGCACTCCAACCTCACTCGGGTGCCTCGCGCACGCAGCACTCGCGCTGGGCCCTGTGGGGGGGATGGCCCCGTCCCTGCCACCCAACCTCCTAAGAGGGGAGACAGCCCAAATCGGCATCAGCAACCCCAGCCTCCCACAGCCCGGGTGCCCTCACGTCGCTGCCCTGAAGTAGGGGCGTGCAGCTCCCTGCGGTCCCCCAGGAGGAGGGGTCACCCCATAGTGTGGTTAACCCGTTATTCAGGAACTTCCCTGCCAGCTCCTCAACACAGGGCAGAGCAGGGCCAGAGCGGCCGCACTGCCCGCGTCCTGCCCCAGCGCCCGGGCTCCGCACTCTCACCTGGTCTCCAGCACCGACGTCCTCTTCGTTTCTGTCCAGATGGACGCCCTGGGCGATGTCTGGGGACTGCTGCTCCAGTGCCACGAGCACATTGCAGGTCTTGAAGTCAAAGCCTGGGCAGAAGGGAAGCAGGCCGAGGGGGGACACGTCAGACACAGGGCAGCTGCAAGCAACTGAGCGACCGAGCGACCGAGCGACCAGGACCTTCAGTTCCTGGCGTGCACTTGTGCGGTGAGGGGGAGGAGGGGTGCCTCTGGTTAGCTGGGACCTGCCTGGGCCCAGAGCCAATGCCAGAATGGGGGAGGCCCAGTATCCTTACCATCACGTAAGACTCTTTAGCCAAAGGGAGTCCTGCACTGCGCGCTGCACTGTGTTACGTCACAGCTCGATTAGACACGCACGCCCTCATGGAACTGCTGTGCGGGAACCAGCAGCAGCCCCAGCTGCTCCCCTGAAGCGCGGTGGGTGACTCACACCTGCCCCGGGGCTGCTCCCAGAGGCACCTCCCAGGTCCCAGGTGGGATGACTGCACGAGGGAACCCGGGCCCTGCCAACCCTGCCACCCAAAGCCGGACATGGGCCTAATCGAAGTACCCAAATACGGGCCTCGACTTGGGAGCCTTCAACTTCACGATGTTGCCAAAGCGATACGCATTTAGTAGAAGCCATACTTCAAACTGTAAACCTGGATCTTTCCCTGTCGATATTCAGTACCATAGTCTCTCAGATGCTGGGCGGCGAGCCTCGGCCCCAGGCAGCCACGCGATCAGGAGGGTCAACAACCTGCACTCTCCAGTGTAGCCACTGTTAAACGATTTGCCCAGCGTGGCCACTGTAGGTGTTCTGGGCCGTGTGCGGCCGGCGAGGCAACCGGGGACGCTCTCAGGTTAGCTGAACTAAGTGCATTTTGACTTTCGATGCCTTCAGCTTAGGGCCGGCTTATGGTAATGCGAGGAGCATGTGTATTAAACACACTGAACAAATACGTGTCCCTGACTGTTCAGAGGCTCCCAGTGCCGAGGCCTCTCATCCTGAGATGTGGTCCCGAGGGAAAAGCCACACCTGCGAAGCGGAGCCCTGGCTGCCCTCCCGCAGCTCGGCGGGCACAGAAGTGGAAGCAGGTGGCACCGGCTGGGGCCTGGGCAGGGGAGTCTGGGCTCGCAGCAGCCCAGCTGCGGAGCCGCAGGAGGGAGCACATGCACAGACAGCACATTCTTCTCCCTGCGGGGCCTCCAACGCGCAGGCCTCAGCCCAGCGACCCTGTGACTGAGGAGCTAAAGCAAACGGCCCCGCCAAAGGGTCAGGTACTAGTGACAAGCTGGCTGTCACCCTCTTTCCAGTCTCTCCTGTCCACGCGGCCAGAGTGGGCCAGTTAAAGCAAACAAACAAGCCAACGACGCAGACCCAATCCATGGTGTGTGCACATGCTTCAGGCGAGGCCCTACCGCCACACCAAGTAAAACGGTCTCCTGCAGCCGGACCCCTTTCGCCAACGTGAGCTCGGGGGTGGCCTTAAAGAGGACATGCCCTCACCTCCCCAAGGTCTCTGCTGGAATGCTCCTCCTCCAACCCCCAGCCCCGCACACACCCGAGTCAGGCGGCTCTCAGTCAGCATCCCTGGGCCCTCCCGCCGCTCTTCCTGGTGAGTTATGCCACCAACTCCCTGCCGGGCACTTCATGCTGCATCATCTGATGCCAGGCAGTGCCCCCAACTCCAGGGACACCTCTGTCCCGTGCCGCCTCCTGTGCCCAGTGACCGATTCTAAAGGCACCAACCAATGAACAACCTTTAGAGAGCTGCCAAGGACTCACCATTTTGCAATAAACATCTCACATTTGGCCTAATCACTGTCTACATAATGACTCTTCTTTTTTTTTTTTCTTTTTTTTTAATATATTTTATTGATTTTTTACAGAGAGGAAGGGAGAGAGATAGAGAACTAGAAACATCGATGAGAGAGAAACATCGATCAGCTGCCTCTTGCACATCTCCTACTGGAGATGTGCCCGCAACCCAGGTACATGCCCTTGACCGGAATCGAACCTGGGACCTTTCAGTCCGCAGGCTGACACTCTATCCACTGAGCCAAACCGGTTTCGGCATAATGACTCTTCTTAATGCTGAAAACCAACCAAGGGCGTCACGTGACCTGGGAAAGTGGGGTGGCTCTCTCACTTAGAAAGGTGCCACAGGCACCCAGCCTGCCCTAACCCACACAGATGCCCACGTCACCCTGACAGCCAGTAAGTGGGCCGGCGCTGTGCACAGGCCCTCAGCATCGGGCCCTCACCCTGCCCTTTGATGCCCTGCAGGGGCCTCCTGGCCTGCCCGCCGCAGGCCTCAGTGCTCTCGGCTCTCGCCCGCCCCTGGTCACTGCTCCTGCTCCACTCCTGCCAGGGCCTGTGCCCCTCCCTGGGCTTAGGCTCCCACACTGCCTGCCTCCGTCGCCCGCTCCCAGGACCAGTTGTGGGTTAAGTCCTCTTCTTGTCCATAATGGGCAGCAGCACAGTTTAGCAGAAAGCACGGGAGGCCCAAGAGGGGCAGCCACGCACTGACTGTCACCTCATAGAAACCATTTAGCTTGAAGCTCGGATTTCCTCATCTGGGTAGAAGCGCAGCAGGGTCTTCAAGCAGTTAAGTAAGAGGACACAGAGACCAGCGCCAGTGCCAGCCGAGGACAGGACCCGGCGGAGGGCAGCTCCTTTTCCTCGGAGTTCTTTCTCTTCCAAAAGCTCCAAGAGGGCAGGACACTAAACAAGGCCAGAGTTACGATGGATGGACTGGGCGGTTCTGTGGGCGGTCACTGGGCTGCCTACTGCTGCCAGGCTTTGACCCCTGGTCCCCGACAGGCGCCCCTAGGACTGTCTCTCCCCGGGTGGCCTGTGCCCGTCCAGAAGCCTCTGATGTGACAGCCTGGGGGGCCTCCCGCGGAGTCCGGGCCCTGCCTTACCCTTGGCAGAGTCGTCGTAGCCAATGTGCTTGATGGTGTCTCGCACCACCCGCTGGTAGTCCACCATGGCCATGGAGGTGATCTCCCCACACAGCAGCACCATGCCCGTCTTGCACACTGTCTCTGGAAGGGAAGGACAAAAGGGAGTGGCCAGCGCCAGCACAGGGACGCCTAATGGCTAGACCTCTCCCCGTGCTGATAAAGAGACTCACAGCGAACCTTACCAGACGGGAAATAGCAATAGCAACGCTAATAAAAGGAGTGAATTCCAGCATGGTTGCTGACCACCTTCAATGCCCCAAGAACTACACTTCGGAAAGAACTGGTTACACCTGAGTTTTTGTACCAAGTTTTCATATCACACTTACTACTCGTGTGACCTTGAACAACTTAGCCTCTCTGTCTGTCTCCTTCACTGTTAGGTGAGGCGAAGAAGAAGACTGCAGTGTGGATTAAAAGGAGACCACGACTGCACGTAGTTGGCCTAAAGGATGCGCTCAGCCTGTGCGACGCTCTCCCGCCCCTGCTGCTAACCTCCACTGCGGCCTTCAGGGAGTGGGATCCTGAACAAAGAATCTGAGCTGTTTACGAAGATGTCGGCGTGAAGTCTACCCTCAGAGGGACACCTAGTCCTCAATCCAGGGGCCAGGGTGGCACTGGAGAGGGACAGACGGTCAGTGCAGCAGACAGGCCAGGGCACCAACAGGAGGACAGCAGGCTGTGGTCTCCATGGTGGGCACGCCTACGCGGTGACGGTGGCCAAGGCCCTCATTCAGCCGCACGCACTGTCCCTCAGTGAAGTGAGAGGACTCGCTCTAATCACTCGGGGCCCTCCTGACTCTGCTGTGGTGAGGGCTTCGCCTCAGCAAAGGACTCAGGCTGCCCGTAGGGCTCCGCGAAGGGCCCAGGCGCTTCTTACCACAGGCCACCTTGGCATTGGGGTCCTGCTGGAGGTGGGCATCCAGCACCGCGTCGCTGATCTGGTCACAGATCTTATCTGGAAAAGAATGAACATGTGAAGGAATCACGGAAATTAGGTACAACAAATGAAATGCTAAAAGAATTCGCTATTCTGTCAGTTTACATAGCAACTCTGCCTAAAAGGACATTTCTTCCCGTTTCTGCCTAATTTTGTATGATGTATAAAATTATAGAATTCCTAAAAACAGAAATATATTCCAAAACCAGTTCTAAGAGTCTACAGCAATTCACACACACACACACACACACACACACACACTTCTAACTAAAAGTCCCTCATTCCTCAACATATTCCTCTCAGTCTAACACCCAGGAAAGTCCTGGACATAGAAGTTAAAACAGCTACTAACACCGGTGAGATTAGGTGCCAAGGTGTGAAGTCAGAAGGGACAACCCGATGCACGTGCTGCAGGTTCCACAGGATGCAGCGTGTGGTGTAGAACTCGCCAGCCCAGCCCCACCCCAGCCGTGGGCTGAGAGGACCTCTGAGCACCAGTGCTGATTGCAGAACATTCCCACGGGCAGCTCTCGGACCCTCCCCACGGCCACTCGGCCTCCTAAAGGCCAGATGTTCTAACAGCTGGGCCGACCTCCACAGTCAAGGTGGACTGACAGTTCAGCACCAGCCGACCTTTGACCTCACTCTGTGTTTGCCTTCGAGACTCTGCATGGGTGAGCTCATAGACCACTAGATGACTCTGTGGAGAAATCTACCTTGCTTTGGGGTCCCGTGAACTGTCAATGCTCACAAATTCTGACATAAAGGTGGCATCTATTTATCTATTTATACATATTAATATCATTTAATATCCAAAATACCCGTAGGGTCTGCTCTTAATAAATTAATAAGGTTTTTCCAGTTTTATTGAGATATGGTTGGTCTATAAAAATGTTGTGTATAATTAATGTGTACAATTTTATGAGTTTGGACATATGTATACATGCATGTTACCATTACCATATCAAGGTAACTAACATATCTATCACCTCCAAAAGTTTCCTTGGGTTTCTCTCTCTTTTTTTAAGTTTATAAATTAAGAACTTGGATCCAGAATCAAGCAATTCTACTCTCAAAAGCACATTATACGTTCTGTAATTAAAAATGTCAATTTGTTATTAAAGGTAAATTCCCCAATTTTTCCTTGCAAAAAGTGCTATTAAACACATGTTTGAACTAGCGGGTATTATGCTAAGTGATATGAGTCAGACAGAGAAAGGCAAATAACATAATTTTACTAATATGTGGAATCTCAAAAAACAAAACAGAAATAAACTCATAGACACAGAGAACAAACTGATGACTGCCAGATGAGAGGGGGTAGGGTGTTGGGTGAAAAAGGGGTAGGTGTTAAGAAGTACAAATTGGTAGTTACAGATGAAGATGGAAAGTACAGCATAGGGAATATAGTCAATAATATTGTAACAACTATGTATGGTCAGATGGATACTACATTTACTGGGGTGATCACTTAGTAAGTTATATAAATGTCTAACCAGTATGCTGTACACTCGAAACTAATATACTATTGAATGTCAACTGTAATTTTAAAACTTTTAAAAAGAAAAAATAACCATACGTTTGAGTTTTTCTATCCTCCTGCCACTGGCAGAACTGCTTGTAAATCTAAGTTTGTCTGAGTCGTAGCCTCTGCACACCCTCCCAAGGAAGGTGTCCTGCTGCTTTAACATCCACGTTAGGCTGACCCATCAGGACTCTTGGGAGCCGATCGTGATGACTCTGCTTACTTAAAGGACATGGGTCACATGTTCCCAACGCACACAGAGAAATGGGATAAGGGGTATTAGGGATAAAGCTGGAGCTGAGCAAGGATATCAAGATAGCTTGACAGTCGGCTGGTGTGGCTCAGTGGTTGAACGTTGACCTATGAAAGAGGAGGTCACGGTTCAATCCTGGTCAAGGCACATACCTGGGTTGCAGACTCGATCCCCAGTTGGGGGCATGCAGGAGGCAGGTGATCAATGACTCTCTCTCATCATTGATGTTTCTATCTCTCTCCCCCTCTTCCTTCCTCCCTGAAATCAATAAAAATATTTAAAAAAAAAAAAAAAGATAGCTTGACAAACTAAGATAACATCTAAGGAGGCCCTTCAGAACTGTTTCTTTCGGCTTTGGAAATTTTTATCGTTATCACTTAGTAGCCATAAGATAGCTAATAGGTGGTTTTGTTGGAAGTTGAAAAAGAAGCATTAATTTTATCTTTCTGGTGGAGAGGAATTTAGCACTGGAATAACAAACAGAAAGTCACCAATCCTTAGTGGAAACTGACTGACTTATGTGGACAGTTAATCTTTAGTGGCAAGTGAAAGGAGAATCAGACAAACTGTAGTCTGCCATTCAGTAGACAAAACAACCAATTGATCGGCTGGAATTTTCCTTCTCTGTCCACCGAGCACCTTGCTGTGTGTGCCCTGGGACCACTGGCCACTGCATGCCAAACCACCCACTTCCTCCGGGCGGAGCAAATCCTAACCTATATTTGGCTTTCAAAAGCCAGGGAGCTGTCCAGACTTTGCCAGACATAGCAATGAAGCAGAGATTATGAGTACGGTAGACCTAGAAACTTTGTAAAATTGTGCATAATAAAAAAGATGATTTACATTGAATTAAGTCACGAGGTTTCTTAACAGCGTGACTGTGGACATTTAGGGCTGGAAAATTTTTTGTTGTGGGGAGATGGACTTGTGTATGCAGGATGTATAGGAGCATGTCGGGCCTCTTATCCATTAAATGGCCATTACAAACCCCCCTTGGTTGTGACAATCCCAAATGTTTTCACACATTTTGAAGTGTCCTTGGGAGAAAGGGGACAAAATCGCCCAAGTTGATAACCACTGGCTAAAGCATATGGAAGGAGTAGTGTATTGAGATATTTAAAGCTGAGTTACAAGGTACAGAAGTTAAATCTCTTTGAGGAAGAACAAGAACAAGAAAAAAAAAGTAGACTTGGTGATGAGTTACCAAAAACTTCAACTGGTCCAATGAATTTTGAAGAAGTGCTTAAATACATAAATCAGCGTGTCTAGCCCCAGGGTTTTCTTGGAACAATGGTTCTCAAAGTAAGATTCCCACACTACAGGCAGCAGCAGCTCCTGGGAACTTACTGAAAATGCAAATTCTGCCCGTGGGCATGGCTCAGTGGTTGAACGACAACCTATTAACCAGGAGGTCAAGGCTCGAAGTCAGTAACCATTGATTCTCTCTCATCATTGACGTTCTGTCTCTCTCTTCCTCTCCCTCCCTCTCTGAAATCAATAAAAAATACATTTTTTAAAAAAGAAAATTCTTTTTTAAAGAGTTTCTTTTAGCCAAAACTGACAACAATTGCCAGTTTTCAACTGCTCCCCAAAATGCAAATTCTTGAGCCTTCCCGAGACCTACTAAATCAGAGAGTTTGGGGGTGAGGCCCAGCACTCTGCATTTTACCCCGGAGTTTGAGAACCATTCCTCTAAACACTGAGGCTCTGATCCTGGCCTCCACTGTCACCAAGGAAGCCTCTCTCAGGAAGCCTCTCCCACCTACTTTTCAGGTACCAAAAGAACGCTTGAATTTTCTTCCTCTTCGAGAAGTCATCTGCACTTTCTTCTATAACACACCGGAGACTTCCAGAACCTGGAGCTCCATCCCAACAGAGGATGCACTGCCGCTTATTCCTAAGCTACATGTGCTTTACACGAAAAACTTGGTGACCCTCGGTCTTGTTTGAGGGAACATTTTCTGTTGACTTAAGCTGCTCGTTGATAATAAGTTAAAGATTTACTAATATATATATATATGTATATATATATACACATATAATGTTTGTATCTGATGATAATTTTATGTCCCTGACTATCTTTAGTCAACAAGCTGTGTGGTCTCTGCTGCAGCCCCCCCCCCAACCCCCCCCCCCCCCCACGCTGAGGGCTGATGCCCATGGTGGTGGCGGCAGGAACCCTCAGCTTCATTCACTTGCAATGCTTCATTGGCATGCGATGATCTGTTTTGCAAAACTACAAATAGAGTAAAAAAATACTTCACAGTGTTCCTCCAGAGAGCCCTGAGAGTCACTAACACCTCTAGCAAAAGTGACTCCCTCGGTCCAGGTCACGTCGGGCCGGTACAGCCTACTCACCAGGGTGCCCCTCTCCTACGGATTCCGAGGTGAACATGAAGGCCCCTTCTTCACTGAGAGAGCTGTCATACAAGCCATCCACCGGTCCGTTCATCTTTTCACAGGTCTCCGCTCAGCTTCCTCAAGGCAACCGTTTAATGCTGTGACTTTGAGTTTTTCTCTTTTCTTTAAACCCAACAGGCCTGTGGTTGGCAGAAGCGCAGGGGTCACTCCCGCCTAACTGCTGGTGAGCATTCGAGAGCAAGGCGAGGATGCTGTGAAGGGAGGGACTGAAGGTGGCAGTGTGGCTACCTGGACTGGCCAGAGCTGGCTCCTGAGTGACCCTATATATGGAAGAGTGAAAGTGCCAGCACGTCATGTGAGAAAAGGGGAGGAGTCCATTTCCTGGGAGGGGTCACTTCACCTGGAGGGGTTTCCGTCTTCAGCTCTGACCCCCGGCCTGGGCACCTGTCAGTGGTGGGAAAGAAGGCTGCGGAGACCCCGTGGAAGGGACGCTCTGCAGGCTCTGCAGCCAGACTCCATGCTGCCCAAGGTCAACATCCCACCTTGGGGGGGGGGGGGGGGCCCTGGTTACTCAGGGGCACACACAGGCAGCAAGACACTCGCTTTCCAGGGATCTGGTTTAGGCTGCGATTGCAGCACAGGGTGGCCTCCGCTGCTGGGTGTCCCCTCCTCCCCCACAGCCCGCCTGGATGGGCTCTCCCTTCTCCCGCCTCCTCAGAGCGAGAGCGTGCGCCTGGGCTCCGAGGCCGCTGGGGGGTTACACAACAGACCCATGTGGAGGCCACGTTGTTCTGCTGGTAGAAGTCACCCAAACTGTCAGCCTCTCTGAGGCGCTGGCAATCACACGAAGAAGCAAATGTTTAAAAAGTGTCCGGGCTTTGGGGGAAGGACTCTTGAGAGACAGATTCGTTACGGGGAACCTGTCAGAGCCCCGTGTCCCAAAGCTTCCAGATGTTCAGTTAGACACCTACATCTTCAGCCCTGTACACTTAGTAAACACCCTGCTCACCTAACTCTGCATTGTTTTTTGCTTCGACCAAGAAAAGCAATAAACAGAATGTATCTTTAACCACTTCATGCACTAAAAGATGGCATTTCTCCCTTCGTTCTCACCCACTCTCAGATCTGCTGCACCCTCCGGCCCCAGCAACAATAGGGAACCGAGGTCTCAGGAATGGGAATGGCTGGAGAAACCACTAGAAAGCAATACAAAATAATCAACCAAAACCTGATGCATCAGAGGTTGGACTGTGGGGAGCAAAAGGTAAGATGTAATAATCCCGACTAACAATTCCGGTGACCAAATCCCCTCTGTGCCTCTAACATGAGACTTAAAGCCCTTGTCTGGGGCTCCAAATCTTGAGTTTTGCCAATGGCTCAGCGGTAGCAGCACTATCCCTCCCGGCGATTAAAACCACATGGAAGTGACCTCTTCAGAGATGGAGAGACTTTACACACATGGACTGAATCAGAAGCATTTAACAACGAGAGGCTGGAATGCTCAGGCACAGGCGGCTGCTGACAGTTCAGAGAGGAACGAGCCAGAGATGGGATGGAAAAACGACGAGTCAAATAGGGACTTTAGACGATAGCGCCTGGAATCCTCCTGTTTGCACTTAAACTGTTTCAACATCGCTGTCCCTTTGTAAAGTTCTTCTGGGTACATTGGTTCCAGGCCTTGAGGCAATGTGAGCTAATGTTTAATGTGAACTGAAGACCGAGGTCACCCTAGCAGTCAGAACTGCGGCCATTCTGTTCTAAATGTGCTGTAAGGGCAAGGTGAAGTTTAAGGATCAAGTACCCGTCAAGTTCCCGAGAGCTAGCGAGAAGTCCGCGAGCAAAGTCGCCCAACTGCCCTCTGAATCCAAAATGAATAGTATCTGCCCTAACCGGTTTGGCTCAGAGGATAGAGCATTGGTCTGCGGACTCAAGGGTCCCAGGTTCGATTCCGGTCAAGGGCATGCACCTTGGTTGTGGGCACATCCCCAGTAGGGAGTGTGCAGGAGGCAGCTGATCAATGTTTCTCTCTCATTGATATTTCTAACTCTCTATCCCTCTCCCTTCCTCTCTGTAAAAAATCAATAAAATATATTTAAAAAAATGAATAGCATCATGGGGTGGGGAGGCCCTGGGTGGGGAGAGGGCAGTGTCCTGTACCGAGAAGTGACACTTTCAGAAGGCTCCCGCAGCCTGGACGCAAATTCGGAGTGCAGGAAGGACCTGGAAGAGATCTAGCTCAGTACCCGTCTCACGTAAGAGTCTCATATGGTGTCCCCACTAAATAACCCCCACCCCACCTCACAGTCCTTCAGCGGATCAGTGCTAACGAGAAGCACATCCAGCATGGTGGCTGGGACAGCAGGCTTCCGGTGTGGTCCCAGTTTTGCTTCTAACCCACTATGCACCCTGGGCAGGCTTCCTAACCTTCCTAGGCTGCTGATTCCTCAGCAATTAAACAAGTACCTACCTCACAGTGTTGTGAGAACTAAATGCCGTCATTTAGGTGTGAGAGAAATAAGCCTAGTGCTACACACAATAAGAGCCTGACAAATATTACCTAATATTTGTAAGTACCTCCTGTATACAGATACATTTGTTCCTGAACAAAAGTAGATGACGGTATACAAGCATTTCTCGGAGATACTGTAGGATGGGTCCCAGGCCGCCCACCACCACCACCACAATAAAGCGAGTATTGCAATAAAGTGTGTTATAATCTTTTTGCTGGTTGAAGGTCTTGCTTTCAATTTGTAAAAAAAACACACACACAACATACTGTGAAGCACAATAAGGCAAAATGCAATATGTTGTTTTCTTCTTGTGCTTATATCTCTACATGCACACAGACTTCATTTTTCAGCACTTGAACAATATCCTCCAATAAGATGACCATAAACTATTAAACCATTCATTCCCTGCTGGCTCCTTGCAGCTTCTTTGTCTGCTGTCGCTATGATGCTACAGGGAAGATATTTAGTCGTTGGCATGCTTTTGCAAAAAGATAAAATGCAAGGCCCTGAACTAGCCAAAATATGCCCATTTTGTAGTACATTTTTACCAGTTGGATAGAAGAATTAGCACTTCAACCAAGAGTTAAAATCACAGCTTCCATCTGGCCCCTTCGGCAAGAATTGGCAGATCTTGGCAAAGATCTTACTTAGAGTTGAACCCACAAGGACTTCAGAGCCCTAACGTGTCATCACACGCGCAAACGAAAGCCTCCCTTACGCACACACTGTCCTGTTCCCCCTTACGCATGAATTGTCCCGATGCCACCCCAGCCGCAGCGAGGACTAAGTCCAGTCCAAAGTGTCAGAGGCTGCAGGTGATCGCACTCCCTTCCATGTGGCAACCTTCACCTCTGAATCTTCACCATCTGGCCTCGGAGGAAACGTGGCTCTGAAAGCACATCTCACGTTCGGTCAGATTTACCCCGAGGAACCTCTGGGTGTAGAATACCAGCAGGAACACCTGGCTTCCAATAGGCAGTGTGAGCACGCCACGCTGAGCAGCTCACGAGGGTCTCTGAGGGCACCCGATCACAGGCACTGCCTGGGGCCGCAGCGCTGGGGGGAAGCACCGAGCCCTGCGCCACCACGCCTGACGGAGCCAGGCAGGCCAGGAGCTAGGGCTCAGAGCCGTAAGGAGCCCTGCAGAGGTAATGAAATGGGAGTTTCTGCCAGACAGGAACATCCAAGCTAGAGTAGAGGAAGAAGATTCCAGAATCAGACACAAGAGTTAAACTCCCCCTTGGGAATATTAAATGTTGACGCCATTATGGAAAACAGCTTGGCAGTCCTTCAATGAGTTACATTTAGAATTATCTTATGACCCAGTAATTCCACTCCTAGTTATGTGTCCGAGAAAAATAAAAGCATGTGTTCAAACAAAACCTTAGACAGGAATGTTCATAGCAGCACTATTCACAATAGCCAAAGTACAGAAACCAGTCACATATCCACCACTAGACAACTGGATAAGCAAAATAGTCATACAATGGTATGTTATTCAGCCATAAACAGGAATAAAGTACTGACACATGTTACAACATGTGAACTTCAAAAGCAATGTGTTAAGTGACATAAACCAGACATAAAAGCCACATACTATATGTTTTCATTTATACAGAATGGCCATTGAAGGTAAATCCATAGAGACAGAAAACATCAGGGGCAAAGGGGAAATGAGGAATGATTGTTTAATGGGTATGGGGTTTTGGGGGAATGATGAAAATATTTTGGAACTAAATAGAGGTGATAGTTACAACATTGTCTGTGTACTAAAATGTCACCGAAATGTGCACTTTAAATGCTTAGTTTTATGTTATGCAACTTTTACCTTAATAAAAAAAGCAAAAGGTTAATGAACACAGGATTCAGGATTATAATTAGTCTAGGTGGAGGCATGATGGTGAGTGAGACAGGAGGGAAGGGGCCTATTATTAGATATAGGTTAAGTCAAGAGTCAGCTTATGTTCCCACAACTAACATCATACCCAATGGGGAAAAGCTGAAAGATCAGGAACAAGACAAGGAAGTCCACCTTTATTCAACACTAGAGGCCCAATGTACGAAATTCGTGCAAGAGGCTCAGCCCTCGGAGCCCCAGCTTCTTCCAGAAGGTTGTCCAGATGGTTGTCAGAAGGTCATCTGGAAGGTCGTTCTGCTGTTTGGTCTAATTAGCATATTAGTTCTTTATTATATAGGATAGTATTGGAAGTCCTAGCCATAGAAACCAGACCAAAAAAAGAAAAGGAAAAGAAATAAAAGATATCCAAATTGGAAAGAAGTAAAACTGTCATTATTTGCAAATGATATGATACAAAACATAGGGGACCCTAAAGATTGCACCAAAAAACTACAAGAACTGATAAATAAATTCAGTAAAGTAGCAGTATACAAAACAAATATTCAGAAATTGGTTGTATTTTTATACACCAATTAGAGGCCTGGTGCACAACATTCATGCACTTGGGGTTGAGAGGGGGTCCCTCAGCCCAGCCTGAACCCTTTCACAGTCTGGGAGCTCTCGGGGGATGTCCAACTGATGGCTTAGGCCTGCTCCCCTTATAATAAAAGGCTAATATGCAAATTGACTGAACAACAGAACGACCGGTTGCTATGACATGCACTGACCACCAGGAGGCAGATGCTCAGCCCAGGAGCTGCCCCCTGGTGATCAGTGCACTCCCACAGGGGGAGCGCTGCTCAGCCAGAAGCCAGGCTCACAGCTGGCAAGTGCAGTGTCGGTGGCGGGAGCCTCTCCCACCTCCTCAGCAGCCCTAAGGG